AGCCCAATTATAGCGCTAATTGTGTAATGTGTGGGTCAGAGATGTGTTACCAATGGATGTGTGTCTCTGGATGTGAGTGTCAATAGCAATGAGGCAATACATTTGGCCGCACATTAGGTGCGGTCGAGCCATAGCTGTTAGTGCCTATGGCTGTGTGTTATTGTACGGGCGATAGGCGTACCCAACACTCATACCCTATGTCTACCATATATTGGCATTTCTTCCCACACTATACTTACGGCTCTAATATTGAAAAATTGTATTCAATTTTTGTAACAAAACTTTTAAAAATTTCTTTATAAAAGTTTTACAGAACTTATGGTTATATTTGAGAATTAAATAATTGTTTTTTAAATACAAATTCAGTGGCATTTTGTTAAGGAATCGATGCTTTTATTTGACAATTAGTGATATTTTTAAATAAATATATAATTTATAAAACTTTTTCTTTTGTAAAATTAAAGAAATTCTCAATTCTTGCAATTATTATAACATAAATGAATAGAATTTATAGTAATTTTACATTTAATTCACTGATTATTAAAACAAACAAAAAATAAAACAATTGAAAACATATCTGTTATGCCTTTTGATGCGATAGTTAACGATGTCTTCAGACGTGGTATCAATTGAGAGACTGAACCGTTCAATTGGTGGCCAAACGTCGGTGACAACAGCGGGTCTCAACTGTTTCGGTGACTCGCAATCGATGGACGCGATCGCCAACGAGATGATGAACTCGAGTTCGTTCGACATCGCGAACTCAATGATCAATTCAGACATCGCGGACACCATTCAATTGACAGCAGTCGAGACCAACGCCGAGGCCTACCATCAAGACATGCATTCGGCGGCCATTGAGTACTCGCTGTCCGCCAATAGGCTTGTGGTGACTGTCGAGGACTGCAGTGACGAGAGTTTCGCCGAATTAGTACAACACGTGAGCAACGGTTCCAATGGTCTGAGCGACGGAACTGTNAGACCTACGACACGGCCAAGAAGTCGGCCGATAGCGGGAATTACGGGTATTGGTGGCCGGGATCGTCGACCACCGCTGAGATCTTTGAGGATTCCGGTGTTGTTGTGCTGTCCAATGGTCTCATACACAAGAAACAGCAAATTAGTGAGTTTGAAACATTTCATTTAAAATGGTTTTATTTTGCATTAATTTTAGATATAGATTGAAATGATTGGTTGTTTCATAACTTGTAAATCATAAGTATTATTTTGATACTGATTTTTAAATGAATTCTCTCTTAAATGAGCTGATTATGAATATGCTGAAGGGGAAGCACTTGGAATGGATGATGATGGGAGTAGTGGTGGGGCCCTAATGGCTAACAGGGCTGTTGCACTGCCACCCCCTCCACAAATGGAGGCAATGACAATGTCTTTAGATAGCAGTCAAAGCAGTGTTGAATCAAATTCGGTTATAATTAGGAAACATTTTCCCGAAACTTGGATTTGGGGCTCAATTGTCTCCCAGTATTTATACTTTCAATTTATTTTCTGATAGTTTAGTGACAACTTAAGCACTCAATAGTATAACTGAACCTACATATTAATTATTAAATAATTAAGGGTAATACTGTTTTATCTTTAATTGTTTAATCTTTGAATAAATAATTAGAAAACAGCAAAAATATAAATAAAAAACCCAGTTTTAAGAAAATATAAATGTGTTAGCAATACATAGTAATTATAATTGGGTTTTTAAATATATTTTGTTGTTTTCACATTATTTATTCACAGGTTATTTAGTCACAGATTAGTGTGAATTATAAACGATTACATTACAATTATGTTAGTAATTATATTTCATGTACTGTATTGCACAGTAGTATACAGTATTATTTATACAGCTTTTACAGCTTTTAATTACAATTAATATTGAATTCAAATGTGTGTTTAATCAGCCGATGATTATGATTATGACGAGGAAATTAATGAAGAATACGTTTCCGTTGATTCCGCTTCAGATGACTCCGATTCTAGTAAAGAATCCGCTTCTGAGCCACTGCCCGACCCGTCCGCTCCCATTGACACCATTAAGTCAGTGACTGTTAGAAAATATTTTCCCGAAACTTGGATTTGGAGTTCAATTATATCCCAGTATTTATTATTTAATTATGTTTTACCAATGGATGTGTGTCTCTGGATGTGAGTGTCAATAGCAATGAGGCAATACATTTGTCCGCACATTAGGTGCGGTCGAGCCATAGCTGTAGTGCCTATGGCTGTGTGTTATTGTACGGGCGATAGGCGTACCCAACACTCATACCCTATGTCTACCATATATTGGCATTTCTTCCCACACTATACTTACGGCTCTAATATTGAAAAATTGTATTCAATTTTTGTAACAAAACTTTTAAAAATTTCTTTATAAAAGTTTTACAGAACTTATGGTTATATTTGAGAATTAAATAATTGTTTTTTAAATACAAATTCAGTGGCATTTTGTTAAGGAATCGATGCTTTTATTTGACAATTAGTGATATTTTTAAATAAATATATAATTTATAAAACTTTTTCTTTTGTAAAATTAAAGAAATTCTCAATTCTTGCAATTATTATAACATAAATGAATAGAATTTATAGTAATTTTACATTTAATTCACTGATTATTAAAACAAACAAAAAATAAAACAATTGAAAACATATCTGTTATGCCTTTTGATGCGATAGTTAACGATGTCTTCAGACGTGGTATCAATTGAGAGACTGAACCGTTCAATTGGTGGCCAAACGTCGGTGACAACAGCGGGTCTCAACTGTTTCGGTGACTCGCAATCGATGGACGCGATCGCCAACGAGATGATGAACTCGAGTTCGTTCGACATCGCGAACTCAATGATCAATTCAGACATCGCGGACACCATTCAATTGACAGCAGTCGAGACCAACGCCGAGGCCTACCATCAAGACATGCATTCGGCGGCCATTGAGTACTCGCTGTCCGCCAATAGGCTTGTGGTGACTGTCGAGGACTGCAGTGACGAGAGTTTCGCCGAATTAGTACAACACGTGAGCAACGGTTCCAATGGTCTGAGCGACGGAACTGTGGGTTCGGTGTCGACCCGATTGAGGCGCCGAAAAGCCACTCAACCACAGAGACTGATCTATTGTGACCTCGACTTTGCTATTAGTGACGAACAAAATGGCAAACAAACGACTGATCCAACCGGTGATGTCATTAATGAACTGCACACTAATGACAACAATTGTGAACAGAATGGTTACACAATCGACGAAATGGTTTTAACAGATTTAGACACTTCTGGACATAAAGTGGAAGAAGAAGAGGAGGAGGAAGAAGAAGAAGAAATAGACGAAGAAGAAGAGACAGTGGAAGAGGAATACACGGAAACAACAACTGAAGATAATGAAACTAAACCACAAAAAGTGAGTTTATTTTTTGTGTGACATTTATTTTGCAATTAATTGTTGATCTAATCGTTGATAACTTAGAAGAATACGAAAGGCTTTGAGTGCGAGATCTGTGGCTCTCTTTGGAACAGCAAAACCCGACTCCGGAGTCATTACAGAACTCACGGCGCGTCCAAACACTTGAAGTGCGATATCTGTGGCAAACTCTTCGGTTGGGAGTACTCGTGGAAGACTCATATGTTGGCGCACAGGGATGACAATCCCAACCGGTCTGTAATAACACTATTATCACTACAAACACATCCACTAATTGTCTATATCGCCACCTGACAGGTGTCCGCATTGCGGCCTCAAACTGTTCAATAAGTCTGCGTTGACTAATCACGTAAAGCGGATCCACGAGAACCCGGAGCGACCGTTCAAGTGCTCGGTGTGTGACAAGCGTTTCATCTCCCGGAGCGAACTCAACCAACACTCGCACGTCCACAACGAGGACAAGCCGTTTATGTGCGAACAGTGCGGCAAAACGTTTCGCAGCAAATCCTATTTGGAGCGCCACTACCGCACCCACACCGGAGTGAAGCCATTCCGGTGCGAGTTCTGCGGCAAACTGTTGGCCGACAAGACCGGCTTCACGGCTCACGTGCGCTCACATATGGGCGACCGGCCCTTCGTGTGCGACGTGTGCGGCAAGAAGTACACAATCAAACGCCACCTGACCTCACATATGATGATCCATTCGGACGCCCGACCCTTCAAGTGCGAGGAGTGCGGCAAGACTTTCAGGTCGCGGACCAACGCCCGCATGCATAAGGACTCGCATCTGGGCGTAAAGCGCTGGGAGTGTCGCTTCTGTAAGCGCCAGTTCCTATCGCAGGGAAATATGGCTAAACACGTGCGAAGACATATCGGCGATCGCAACCACAAGTGTCTCGTCTGCGGGAAGGCCTTCATCGAGAAGCAGGAGCTCAAGAATCACTCGAAAATGCACGCAAACCATGAGAAGCAGCTCAAGACGCCCGCCGACGACGCCAATCGCAACACCAATGAGACGGCGCCTCAGATGCAAGCGTTGCCCACCAATACCTCATCCGCCACAACGACAATCACCGCCACTACCATTACGTCAGATGTGTCCACCCATTCCAACACAAGCGTTAAGAGTGAGAGCGAAATGAATGGGTTTAACGACTCGTTACTGAATAATAACCGGACGGACAGCGAAATGAATGCCGATTTGAATGGAGTGTTGAGTAGTGGCGGCGCCCACCAGACCCTCATATCCCTGTCCACACCACTCACCCTAAGTCTGCCGCCACTGACACACAGCCTATGCCTTCAACCGTTGAACGCAATCAATATGACACAAACCTATGAGAGTGTTGACAACAATGGGAATACCGGTGCGGTTGATGTGACGCCAACTGAGCTGTCATTTTGTCACTTCACTCAACGACCCGACAATAGCCGCAACTTTTACGCCAATCACGGCCTCAATGGGAACCGTTCGCCACCGCAGGACTCGGAGCACACATTCTTCACCGCTAGTCATACGACACAACCGGTTGTGTCGACGATCACAACCCAAACCAATCCATATCTGGTGACCACCACTGATAGCCATCACCAGACCTACAATCACACCATTCATTGCAGTCTCTGTTCCCATGTCTTCGCGACACTCAATCATTTGAGACAACACTTGATTGACTTCCATAGAGTGGAGTCCGAGAAAGTCATTTCAATGATGTACTGAATGGCCGCAGAAGTCGGTGCCCTCTCAGCACCTGTACTCACATCTACTCACCCGTACTCTACTCTTGCAGGGAATCAAATGATTATTTTATGTTTGTTTTGCCATTTTTGTAATGATTTTGTAATTTATGATCAAATAAAAAGATTAATTGAGAAATAAATATTAAAAAATTTATATTTTGTCAAAACTTTTTATTCAAAGCTAACATATAATGATTGAATTGACGTAATGTTCGCTTCAATGCTTTACTCGTATTTAGTGTTGGTTTGCAATCCATTCGTCGATTCCATTGAAAGGATTGTGAAGTTTTTGCCAAACTTTAGCCCAAAATACGGCTTTCAATAGAAGAGTCGGAAACGCGAAGAGAAGTGAGTTTTAGTCCGACATCTGATTTGCCATCGATTGCATCGGTTTAGTGAAGAGTCAATCGGGAGACCAATCGCTGAACAGAGATGTGTTCCGAACCGATGACTCCGACCACCAGTGACTTGACTATTG